CTCCATAGGCGGAAGGCAAATTGGTATTTTCCTATAGTTTTTTACCTTTATTTTTTCCCAAGTCCTAAGTAAAGCATTTCTCACGTAGTGTCTTTGGAAATATCTATGTGCAGTGTTTTTCCCATACCAGAGAAAAGCATGCCATCCCAATAGCAAGTCATGTCCCTCCAGCACCAATAATCTTTTGTGCCTCAAAGTTATCCAATCTTTCACCCAAGTTAATACTGCTGCTTGGTAATGCAACTCCTAGTCAAGGAGCCAAAGAAGCGATGGAATGATATCATGCAAGCCGGCAGACCAATTTTGGTAGTTTCTGGGAGTTCCTATTTTAATTTTCTTGTGGAAAACATAAGAAATCACATGTGCCAGGTTTTGGAGATCTGCCACCAAATAGCAGTGTGATTTTGAGACTCCAAGGGTACAAAGGAGATATGGGGACTACATAGGAGGAATCCCTATTACAAACCATGACCCAGTTTCACACATTTAACTCACCTTAAAAATAGCTCTTGTAAACAGAGCAGAAGGAGAGCCGTGTAAGTCTGTGGTGGCAAAAAAATCAGGAGTCGTCTGGTAGCACCTTTTCCAACTAACAAAACTTAAACCTTGTAATGAAATCTGTTAGTCAAAAAACTAAGAAATCAGGCTCCTTGAATGAACTCTTATGCCTCCAATAAATAATTTTGTGGCATCCTAAAAATTAAGCTTTGTTATTGCATAAGCATTTGTAGCTCACAATTCACTGCATCAGATCCATAGGTGTGGTCTTGAGAAATGAGCATTATATACAAGGGCTGTGCAAGCTTTCAGTAGAGGTGTTTTGCAGAGCACGTACATGCAAGTGATGCACTTGTTGATGCTTAAAGAAGCCACCTTTGGAAGAGTTATGTGGCTACTCCAAAGACTGCCTACCCCCTACCTAGGCTTCTGTTTTGTACATGCACAACAACACTTCTGCTGGGACAGTCCTCGAAGCAATCATGTTTTGGAGAATGCTTTGCATAGTCCTGTTATCTATATACAGAGTTGTTCTGGAGGGGAGGAAAAGGGATATGATAGAAGATGAGAGAAACAGTATAAATAATGATTATCAAAAAAACAGAGTTGGGCACAGAATTATTATGTGCTTAATAAAGGCACAGTTCTGTTTAAGTGCCCCCATAGTACAGTACAGGTAGTCCTTGGTTTATGACAGCAATTGGGACCATAAAGCACAGTGTCACGGGACTGCATAGCTTAGTGATGGCAGTTCTGGCAGTCCTGGTTGCCACCATTAAGTGATGACCATGTGGGTTGTTAAGCAAGGACCGCATGTGACTGCAACTTCCAAATTCCTGCCAGCTTCCTATTGACTTTGCTGGTGGGAAGCCGGCAGAGAATGTCAGAAATCACGATCACATGACTGTGGGATGCAATAACAGCCAGAACCCTGAGGACCAGTCATAAGTCCCCTCATTCATTGCTGTCATAAATTTGAAGAGTCGTTGAATTAATGAATGTAACTTGAGGACTACCTGTATAACCAGTCCTGAAAGCAGTATTATTAAAATGGGATATTGAATAACTCAGGTGTGAGACAATTCCAGAACTGTTTACTAGATTGGTGAAACCACATCCGCCCTTTCAGATTCTAACAATCTTTTGCACATGGTAGGAGTGTGATAATTGAAACATACATTTCAGTTGATCCATTCTTGTCTTGTGCAACCTAATTTTTAATCTATGGGAATATAGTGGGGCCACCTTCGAAGTAACCTCATCTTTCTTCTTTTCATTTTATCTCATCCTTTGCTTTGAATCAGTTCCTCGTGGACCTCCTTCAACTACAATCAAAGCATCGTCCAATGAAGTAGAAGGTGGCAGTGATGTTAATGTTTTGTGCACAGTTTTGGGGCAGCCAGATGTAGAAGTGGAATTTAATTGGATATATCCAGGGAAACAGGTATGCACTGTAGATTTTGTTTTCTTTGCTTATTTCTTGAAATCTAAAATAGAACTTTGTATGTATGTGTACTATTAACTGCAGAATGGATTTTAGACAATTTTGGAGACATAGCTATTCGCTGCAGAAATATACTCAATTGCTAGAAGAGGTTTCAACTATTTTATCAGATAACATATAAGATTAAATATTAACCTATGTTTCCATTACTCTCGGTCTAGAAAGATGATAGATTATTTAGCACAAGATGATAAACAAACTGGCTATCCCTGTTTTGGACAAGCCTAGAGGGAAAAAAACATCAGAAAAGGGCATGGAAAGACAGTGAGATTGCGTAGAATTGGCAGTCAAAATTAGATTATGCAACTGTCTTTCATGTGTATTTTACTGCTAGTCTTGCTAGAAATTATCTTTGAAGTTCCCCAACAATCATTATTTTCTTACAGAAAAAAAAATCATGATGCCTGCTAAAGTTTCTTTACCAGCAAAACAACTAGTAGCATAAAATGTTTTGTGTGTTTTTATTGCTTAAGTAGTTCTTTTGCATGCTATTATTGCTTAAGTAATGCAGTAGTAAGGCAGTTGTGGTAAAAATGAACTGCGTCTCATATAAATACTGAATTTGTGATGTTAACACAACTAACTGGACTGCACACCAAATCTTCATATAAAGATTTGAGATCTTTGGTAAGGGTGGAAGGTCGCTTCCAATTGTTGCATTCATGGGGATTTTTCAGTGGTGATTGATTTCAGATCTAAATCCCTTGATGAATCTTGAGACACACAAGCTTAGCTGAAGTCTAATTTAAGTATCTAAATCCAACAAAAAAGCAATATAAAGTCTTGTAGCCACTTAAAGACATCTGTGATGGCATAAGTGGTTGTATTGTTGCTGGGGTGCATTAATGGCTCAGTGTGGAAAAAAGGAACAGGCTACATGCACAGGCCCATTCTCACTTGTTTAAGCAATCTTTCCACTCTGTGAGGGGGGGAAAAAAAGAAAAAAAACAAGCAGTCTCTGTAGGCAATCTCTCCTGTGGGTGACCCACTTTTTTCTCTCCTCCTCGCAGAGCAGAGAGATTGGAGAGGAAGGGATTACAAGAGAGTAAGCAAGCACACAATGGGGATTACATGGGGCTGTTTGCATAGCATGCTCAAGGCGGCTGGTTCCACCACATTGCTTTTGAAGTGTATTCCCCATTGTGTCCCTCCTTGCTCTCTTATAATTCCTTCCTCTCCAGTCAATGTAAATACAAACATTAATTCTCTTCTTGCTAATTATTCCAGTGCCTGGTAAGCATTCCAAAGGGGCAGGGGGAGGGAAGCTAACATTGTTAGGAAGTAACATTGTTAGGAAGCAAACAAAAGCCAAAGGGGGATCTCGTCAGTTACAGGCAGTCACTGCGAGCCGGCTATCCCAGCACCAGAGTGAGCATTCCGAAGGGTAGGGGAGTGGGGAAAAGGAAAGCAGAGTCATAGTCACATGATTTCCGACTTAGCAACTGCTTTGTTTAATGACAGAACTGCTGGTCCCAATTGTCACTAAGCGAGGACTACCTATACTTGTGTACAAGCGAGGAAATATAGTTCCCCTTCAGACTTCCTGCCTGAATGTGTGGAGTCTGCAAACAAGAAATAGAAAGATTATTGCAACTTTAATCGTTACTCCTTACACAAAGCCTGCTGTTGGCCTTATCAGATTTATAGTAAATGGTGCAAAATCAAGATATGCATAATTTAAACACTGAAATTCTGAATTAAGTGGTCTAGATCTGGCATGAATACAAGGGAGGCCGCTCTTAAATTGTGTTATATTTTCCTTCCAAATATTAAACCTAATGTGAATTATCAAATACATACACACACACACACACACACACACACACACACAGAATTAGCCAAATCATCTGCCTTAGTCTGCCTCCTTTATTGGTTGTAATTGAGATTAAAATTCCTATGTATGCTTTAGATTAACAGAAAATAATGTTAGCAAAATTAAAGGAGGTTGTTTTTTTGCAGAATTCTACACTAGGTAATGTATTTTTCCCCTTTTCAGTATAAAAGGCCAGTGGTTATCCAAGACTCTTGGAGGCTGATTGATAGAGGAATTGGTCATACTACAAGAATCTCTGAGAGCATTATTACTGTTGAAGATCTGGAAACCACTGATGCTGGAAACTACATCTGTATTGCTCAGAACCTTCAAGGACAAACCACAGTTGCTGCTCACATTGAACTGATCTGAGTTCTGCAGGCAGATGGAACAAGAAACGAAAGAGACTGCTTCTGACCAGCTTTAAAACTGGAACTGGAAATGCACCGGACCAAAATCTTAATATACTACATTTTTTATCATATATGAATTAAAACTGAGCATATAAATATGGCAACCAGCATAGTGCAGGAACATCAAAACTGAACTGCAGTGAGGAAACTTATAATTCAGAAGTTGCTTCTACTGTTCCCTAGGTTGCTTTAGAGATGTTGCCATCGGCATCAGTCTTTGCATAGCTCTTGCCATATTTTCATTATGGAAATGCTGACCTACTTTACAGAATTTGTTGTAAAGGTTTACACAATAATATATCTATCACTACAAAGCACTGAACTAAGAGAATAATTTTGTGTGTGTATGTGTGTGTGTATGAATTATATTCAAACCTTTTTCTCCAACAGTAATTTTGGGAGTTCTTAGAGGATAATGCTGAGTATACAATATTTTAGTTATGTTTCTTATTCTATTTTGCATCAGGAAAAGCAAGAGTAACACATTTGTAAGATTTACTGTATTATTTGCTGTCAAATAAGTATGTAACAGACTGCAATATAAGAGGATTTGTTTGAATCCTTTCTCATGGTTCAAAAATCTCATGGAACAGACATTGTCAAAGCTCTACTAACCACAGATTGCATTATTTACTTTCTGCTCAGAGTTTTGTAGTGTTTTTGTTCTATCAAGCCTGGGCTTACACGTCCTTCTCCTGAAATATGTCAATGATATGCTCTTTTTTACAATCATTGTCAATTTACATTTCTGGTGCTTGTTTGGGGCCATTAAGGCCCTGTTGGTTTGGGGGAACTCTACAGCTCCCTGCAGGGGGAGCAGATCAGTTACAGATATGCCTCATTTAGTGACTGCCTTGTTTAGCAACCGTTTGCAGTTACAACAGTGATGAAAAAGTAATTTTATGACCAATCCACTCATTTACAGTCTTCGCAGGACTGTCAAGCAAAGGAAAGCTGAAGTTAAGATCGTAAGCACAGTTGCAGTTTCACTTAGCAACCGCTTTGCTTAATAACCAAGTTGCTGATCCCAATTGTGGTTGCTAAACAAGGACTACCTGTACTTGCTTTTGCAAAAAAAATAACGGATCCTTCAAATTGAGCTCAAATGCTGGTGATCTCATGGGCACATTCTGTATCATTTTCTTGGCAACAATTCAGAAGTGAGTTTCCTGACTTCCCAATCTAGCCTACAAGCCTGGTATTTCCTGGTGGTTTCCCAACCAAGTACTAGCCAGGGATGTACACCCACACTGACAACTGGTATAGCTCTTGGAACAGCAGTATGAGCCCTGCAAAGTACAGAGCGGTTTTAATGGTTGGAATAGACCTGCTTCATTTGTGTTCCCAAATGTTTTGCACAGGCCTGTTTGAAATAGCACAGTGCGATCTCAGATCTTTAGGACTACACTGCATAACTAACTTTTGAACATGCATGACTGTGCTATGAAACCCAATATTTACATTTATCTTCTTCAGCCTGATGTTCCTTTAGGAACAAAAACACTGTTTGATAATGCTTCTTACAAGTAATGTTGAAAAATGCAAATGAAGACATTTTATTTGTTTGAGTAACCATTTGTTGATTAGATTTCTATCTTGCCTTTCTTTCTTGCCCTCCTTTCTCTGATTCTTCCCCACAATAACCACCCAGTGAGATAGGTTGGGCTGAGCGAGAATGACTCGTTCGGTCTCCCGGTGAGCTTTTGTGGCTGAGAATAAACTAGCACGTGGGTCTCTCCACTCCTAATCCAACACAACAACAAATTACAATAAGGCTGCTTATTATTGAAATTCAACGAAGGAGAGGAAAGAACCTCCTGACGCCGTTTAACTCCTTTATTCTCTAAGGAAAATATGAAAAACAAATTAACAATTTGTCTATAGCAAGGCAATTTCATCATCTTCAGCCTAGCCGTGGTCCTTGCTGCAAAGTGTTGAGTAGAATATTCCAGATAAATTGCACGTTAACAGTGGGGAGAACATTTGCAGACGTTCATATGAACCTTTTAGCATGAAGTTCAGCAAACATGCTGTGTTGGGTGATCTATGTCCATGTTATTCACCAGGACTGCTTAGAAGAACAGTTCATCCCCCCCCCCCCCCCTAAATCTCCTACGGTCCACTGCAGTGACATTTCTGGGTTTTTATTAATGTAGCCATGTACACAATAAAAGCATTCACATTCTGCCATGCATTCATGAAAGAGCAGTGGCATGTTGGTTATACACACAATTAAAATTTAATTAACATTTAACCTTAGATCCTTGTTCACAAAAAGTGTGCATAATGAACACAGTTATAGCACATTTGCTCTGAAGGATTACAGAGGTTAATAAATATATTGATAAAAACAATGACACAAAGAAGGGAATCTCTATATATGTTGTCTCTATAGGGCAAAAATGTCTCTATGTCCTAATCAAAGTGATCAACTTGTTTGAGACATATTGAAAACACCAAAGGTATTCTAAGATACAGCTTTTGAGATTTTTTTATTAGCTTTTATTTGGGATTTATTGCACATATTTGTATTTGTATTCAAGTGTTTTTATTGTTTTGTATTGTAAGCTGCCTAGAGCTGTTTGCTTAAGATGGGCAAATACATTTCCTAAATAAACAAATATTTTAAAAAGTGTTTTGATAGATTTAGAAAGCCAAATCTTTTTGTCCCCTCAATTATTTTATCGTTTATTTGCATCACAAATACATGCTTTGTGTTAGAAGAAGGTTCAAGGTATACATGGAAGTTTAAAGTAAATATTGTATTTACCTGAAAGGCAGATGACCAGGAATTTAAGTCAGTGCCTTCCACTCCCACAAAAGGAACTATAGACAGAAACAAAATTTTAAACAGAGACAACCCCCCCCCCCAAAAAAATCCTACACAATGCTCATTTTCACCACTTTAACAAAAGGTTGACAATTCCAGCTAAGAATCATCTTGGGGATATCACCCTCTAATAAATATGGCCATGTGACACATTTCACTCTCTTTCAATGTATGTATTTTAACAGACCTATATGTTGTTCCATTCATGACTAACTCTAAGCAGCTGACATACCCAATACATGAATAAAGTTAAAGCATACCCAAAAATAATCAAAATGCACCAGGCATTGCTGAACAATTAAACCCTTAGCATTGAACCCACAGTATGCACATTCTTCCAGATCCCTCCCTCCCATCCTATGGTAGAAAATATGTCTAGCTTAGGGTGTTGGGTTGTATGAATTCTCTGAGCTTAATTTTTCATTTGCAGATGTTTCATTACTTGTCTAGATAACACTGAAGTTATATAGAAAGATAACAAAATGTCTGCAGATGAAGTTCTGAGAACATCCATCCATCCATCCATCCATCCATCCATCCATCCATCCATCCATCCATCCATCCATCCTATTGTAGAGAACATATGTAGCTCCAAGTGTTGGAGTACTGAGTTACAGGAATTCTCTGAGTTTTGGATTTTTTTCTCCCCAGATGTTTCATTACTTGTCTAGGTCAGGGGTTTTCAAATTTTTCAGGTCACCAAATCTGTTAAAAAAACAATCCCAGAATGCCTGATCCAGAGGCAAAACTCTAATGATAGGAAATTGTCTGTATCTGAGTTAACTTTTTTTTGGCCTTAGCTTCTCATGGAACTCCAAGTTCTTCTGGAACCCTAGGGTTCCATGGAACACAGTCTGAAAAACTCTAGCCTTAGTGAACAAAAGATTTTACATATATGGGTAAAGAAATGCCTGAGATGAAAAAGCTAGCTCAGAAAACTTCTGCAATCAATCCAGTCAATGAATCAATCTATCCATCCATCTATCCATCCATCCATTCACCCACCACCCCACATTCCAAGGGAGATTAGATAGATAGATAGATAGATAAATTACTGCAAAATAAGGTAATTAAATGATCTCCATCTGCACACACCATCCATTCTGCATATATAATCTATTTCCATAAGTATATGCACATACTCCTTCCTTCCTTCCAGCAGAAACAGCAAAGAAGAAGAAAATCAAGATGAAGGCAATGCAAGAGGAAGGGAAAGCTGAATTGGGAAAGGAAGTAAACAAAGGGAAACAAAGATGTATGGAAAAAAATGACTGAAGGGATAATAAAAGAGAAAGCAGCACTATTTAGGCCTAATAAAAGGGTTAAAATTCAGTTGGCAAGCAGCTCCTTGCAAGTGTTATCTTCAAAGGAATCTGTACTTTTCAGCAGTGGTGTCTGCAGTCATTTTCATGCCCCAGTCATTCGTTTTTAATCAGCAATTTAAAACATCTCCCCACTTCACACTCATATGCACTTCTACACATAAGGTTGTCTGGATCTACATAACAACAACAGGCAAAGATTGTATATATACAAGTTATTATTCTCTAATCTGACATGGGATATTTAACTGCAGAATCCACTATCCATGAACAATGGGTGGGGATGTATGTCCCAATATATATATCCCAAGCTATTTCATAATGCTGCCACTTCATCTTCAACTTGAGTTGATCTGGGTGCCATTTATTACTCATGGGTACATGATCTTTTCCACCATGTCTGGATCTCGCTGGTCCTTGAAGATCCAGTTCTACAGGACAAGATTTGATGCATGAGATGAACGTTGGAATCCAAATAATTGGGAGGAGGGGTGGTTGCAAGATGGCCTCCACTATAAGGTATTTTTGCATGCCAATGTTTCCTCTGCATAACCTAGAAAGGCATTAGAGGAGCCTGTAGAGAAGTTGCAATTCTACTCCTTTTGTAACATATCTGGTTCTTGCATGTCTTAATCAGCCTATGCATTGTTCCGGTAGCTAACCTAGAACTTAACTGAAACGCAAATTGAAATACAGCAAGAAACTCCACACAGTGAACATATATAATAAAGTTTGATGTTCAACTCCCAGGATTCCCTAGCCTTGGGAATCTTGGACAATATATCAGCATATGGCTTGGTGGAGAAGATAACTGTACATTACCCTCAGAGAAATCAACTGGGTAATTTCGGATAAATGAAAGTATTTTTTCCAAGAATTTTATGAAGAGTTTTAGATAGAACAATAAAAGAATACAAGTGAAAAAAAAAGAAAAGAAAAAAAGTTGTAAGAAAACGAAACGAAACAAACAAAAAAAACCCTCTGCTCCCCTAAAAAAGTGACTTCCCATCCTCATCATGACAACTATAAGCAATTCCATAATCTCTTTACCTCTTATTTAGCCAATATACATCTCGTCACCCCATAACCCATCTCTTAGCAATAGGCAAATCAAATAAGTAACCTTTTCTCCCATGCACTTCTCAGCAAAAAGTCCAAAGCTCTATAATATTAACACTAGTTAACTTATATAAAATTCAACATTCCATATCTCCACTCTTAGCTACAACAAAATCTCATTTAAAAGGCATAAAATGGTCCCAATATCCCAATATAAACCAAGTAAAAGAAAGGTTTAACATAACAAGAGACCATTTACAAAAGACAAGCTGCAACACATTTTTACTCTAAATATCAACTTATCCCATTCTGATAAACATTCCATGTCTCAACTCTAAACTATAAGCAAATCCACAAAAGAGTGAAATTTAGCATAACAGAGAGAAATAGTTTCTCCTTTAAAGAAAACAAATCAAACTACCTTATTTTAAGTAAAAAGACAATGAAATACAAAGCCAGTTTGAGTACTATGAAATTAAAGTACATAAAATAGCAGGAGAGAATTTAAACACCTTATTAAATATAAACAAATCCAGCCTACCACATTTTTTTTCTGCTTAAGATATTTGCAAATCCAAAAAGAACCAGCCAGAATAACAACATAACAAACTTTCTCTGTAATCCATTCAGATGTTCGTTGACCTTTGTTTAAAGTACTGAAGAAAGTTCCAACAATTTCCCTTGTGACTCCAACAAAAAGAAATTATTCCAATTGCTCTCTAGGATTGTCATTTTTTTCCTTCTTAATTTTCAATTTCTCATCCAGTTTTTTCTTTATGTCTGGTGAAAAGTTAGTATTCAGATTCTCATCCATGTTTTCCTCAGGTAAGTTTTGCTGCATATCAGAAAAACATGACATAGCCAACATAATGGATTCAATATCACAATGCAGTTCCTCAAAGGCATCTCTAAACACCATTTTAAATCACTTATGTCTTCAGTCTCAGAAACAATTTCTCTTTCCCACAAATATGCAATTATTCTTTAAGAGTAATTTCAGAGTCTTAATATTCAAAGTCCAATTTCCAATGCTTTCTGAGCCCTTAATCTGTTTAAAAACTTTCTATAGCCAAAACCTTGTCTTATTTTTTGCTGTTTAAATTCTTAAAATTTATAAAAATAAATCTTCATATTCTTATATTAAGGATTGAAGGCACTCACAGGTTATTTTCCAGCCTTGTCACTTTGCAGGTATCTAACTTCTCTGAAGCAGTTAATAGGCTATTAGAAGTGTACACTCTTTGTGTCCTTCAAAAAAAGGCTGTTTGCACCTTGAACAATTATGGAGAATTCCCCATCTCCCAATTCCCACCAACCCCACCTGAGATTGCTGTCTTGCAGTCTCTCCATGAGAAAAAGGAACAATCATAAGGAGAAACAGCTTGGGCAACCTCACCATCTCTTTTATCCAGATAGAATTGTGATATGTTAATCGGCTCCTTATTAAAGTCCACAGACATCGGCTCCGCTTTACACGGAGCTGTCTTCAATCTGCTAGCCCCAATGAAAGCCTTTTTTTCAAAGGCTTTACGAAATCTGAAATTGTTTTGATGTCTGCAAATCTAAGCTCAGTCTAACAGAAACCACTTCTGTTTAAAAGACTCACAACCTGGAAGGAAGGCTTCTCATAGATATAACCTTATACTTTATGTTAGCATTTACATTAGTTCGGCTTCAGGGATTTGCTTGCGCTTAAAAAGGCAAGAGTCTTAAACCAGTAAAAAAAATTTATTTTAATTTTCAACACTCAATACATGTGATCAAATATGACCTTACCAAAGAAATAGATTGCTTCAAGACATATTTCTAAGCCAAATTTCAGCCTACAGCTCATGGTTATACAAATCAATCTCTGGACAACAGTTTATTTAGAAGTGCTGGCGTCTCTAGCTACAATGGCATGTACTGTTCCTTAAATGGGTTTGGGCAAGTAAAATATTCCATATACAATGCAGAATTAAAATATTTTATCTTTGACTTTTTCATATTACCAAGTATAATATGCTTTCATAATTACAAAATAACTAAAACCTTTCTCCTTTCAAGCCAACCATTTGCCCTCTAGACAAATATTTAATCTGACATTTTGTTTTCCATGTTTATAGAAAATTATTCCAAGACCCCCTTCTTTAATTTTATGAAAGGGACAAAGCAAATCTCTGAAAGATCATTCTTAACCTCTGACTAGCCCGTTAATCACTCAATAACAAAGAGATACCAGTGCATTGTTGGGTTGTACTACTGATAACAGACTGAACCATAGCACTTACCAGTCCCATCTATATCAGAAAGTAGAGACAACTTTTAACTGTATTAGAGCTCATTTGTACATATAAGACATTTTAAATCTCAAAAAAACTAAAACTAAAAACTGAACAGGTCATTAACAAGAGCAGACATGCACTATGCTGTTTTTAAATTTGTAATGCAGAATTAAATGCTACCCAGATTTTAATTTATGAAAATCAAAGAAAGCCTCCTATCAAATGAAATTGAGGGTATTGAATTCTGCAGCTAATTGGAAAAAGGGAATAAATCTGTTACTGATGAATGTAGTGAACAGATTGCTCCTCATAGCATTTACTGATTAAAGTGCACATAGATAAATTATCAGTTCAGGATGTTTGTTACAAAGCAACATGGAGAAAAGTAATTGGTACATTTCTACAACCTCTTGCTCCTATTCAAATAAGCACATCAGCATTTTTTCCCCTGTACTCTGAAGTCCTGCTATCTTGAGTCAGATAAGACCCTGTAGCTGCCTTCTGCAGCCACTGATACTGAAAAGGACTGTAATGTTTGAATTTTCTATCACCCTGATGTGCTTTTTTTTTTTTTTTAAAGGGCTACATAATATAGCTAGGGGAAAACAATTTAATGCTGACATATATGTGGGGAAGATGAAAAATAATATTTTGGATGATGTAATTATACGTGGATAGGAGATGATCAGACTCATTACATTCCACAATGAAACAGGCAGACAATGATGAAACCAAACAGAAATAGCATCTCCTTTCAATCATTTACTAAACTGAAGTACAGAGATAATGGAGAACATATAGTACACGTGGCAGTTTTTCTTTAGTCCCAGGAAAGGGAGAAATCCTTGATAAAACATGCATAATGAGAATACTTTATTCATGAAGTACATGACCCTATTTTCTTCTGTGTTTGTCCTTTATCATATACATGGCAAAGGTGGTATGCTACATCTAAGTCATTTATGCACACCCAGAGTCTCAAGTACATATCTATAATGAGGAACATATTAAAGGTTGCGATCTTTTATTTATAAGCCCCTGAGCATTTTTTTTCCCTAGAGTTAGGTGAAAAAGGCAAAAGTGAACAAGACATTTCTTGCTCTTTAAGTGCTTTGTGCAACAACATTTGGAGAAGTTATTTCCGAAGTCCTTTTTTCTTTAACGAGGAGCAGAGTTTGGTTTCCTGCTCCTGTACCTTGAACATGTTATAGATATTTCTCAATGCAGTACTTTCCAGTTATATTTCAGACACAGTGAACTCATATAGCTTTCTGCTCCCTTAATCCACGTTTTCAGTTCTGCAGAAGGAAACGCTTGAAGGGACAGCATCTCTTCTCAGTGGTGTCATCTGGGTGACACAGTGGGGCTGGAGAAGGAGCTGGAATTTCTTGGTGACTGAAAAGGCATTGGTGGAGTACCAGGGGAGAGTTTTCTTGGACTACACAGGTCCCCGTTGTGTAGCTTCCACAAAAGTTCTTCATTCTCCATTGATAGGCGTTTATTTACCTTGGATTCTTTCTCCAAAGACTCTTGTAAAACTGCTTGCTCAGTGGAAAGTTGCCTGTTTAATTTAAAAGGAAAATTACAAGTGAGATCTTCTCACCTTCTAACAGATGTGCCCTATTCTTCCTTTAAAACATTAACAAGCTATAAAGGATTCAGTTGGACAATTGTCTAGTTCTCCACCCTTCCTTGATGGAGTGGTGATGGTTCTTCTTCCCACCTATTCTGTAGCTCCTGGAGAATTCAGAAGCTATGAAGTCCTCATTGGACTTATGGAACAGCAGTGGACAGATTATCCCCCTTTCAAAATTATTGCTTCTTTTACACTCTTGGATACCTCAAGGTTCAGCTGAGCACACTGATACTTTCAACTTCTTTCTCATTTTCTCCAATCTTATTGGTGCCTAGCTATCTGAGTACTATTAGAAGAAAATTATAATATGGCCATACTAGGATTTTCTACTCAGATGCTTGTAGTGCAAGTAATTTTCCACAGGAAAAAAGTGAGTTGGGAAACTTTATCATACTCCACTCTCATTCTTCTTAGCTTAAAGCAATACTACCATTTTCACCCTTAAGATGGAAAGGGGGCAAAACTGAGCCCCAGATGCCACTTTCCCATACCCCCAAATGATGCAGCAGGAAGCCTAGAGCCCCTGTAGTTACAAGAAGGGAATGCCCACATAAAATGCATTTCTCTTAGGTGCAAGAGATGACAGCAAGCAAAGGAGGAAAGAGCGAACAAGAAAATAACTTTTTAAAAGTTGAATTTAAAATTTCAATAGTGCCCAGCTACTTATGAGAATGCTACTTCATTGTGCTGGCCTTCAAAAGTTGCTTCTACTTTTAGCAATAATCACAATCCATTGAATATAGTAATTCTGCCAGATTGAAGCAAATGCATTTCTATGCAGATGGTGGTGCTCTTGTTTATTTGAATTTCAGTCCCACCTTATTATCCTAGATTTAGGATAGCTTGCATCATGCCTCTTTTCCTGACATACTGCTGGATCTACTAAAATTTAGAAATATCTGTGATCCCAGAGTCAAATGTACACCTCCCCACAGTGAATTTTAGATGTGGCCACCACAGCATATCTGAATTGTAAACTTTAATGGGCCAGAAGGGAAATATGATTAAATATAAGAATCATTATATTCCTCTATTTAATTAATTTAAATTCAATTAAAGTTTGTTTCATGTGACTCTTCTTTTTATTCATCCCGGTCCTGTCCATTTTTTGAATTACTATTCTTGATATTTCACTCAAAGTCCAGGGGCAATTCTGGAAAAAGGTTGCATGCACCCTGTTCTAAATTCCTCCTTCCCCCAATGAAGGATAGACATCTAGAGACTGGCCAACTAGAGCTGAACTTTTAAAGTACCTGGAAAGCTCCATGTGTTTGTCCATCCGAGCTTTTAATTCTTCATTTTCTTGCTGAAGTTTTCGCATTTTCTCTACCAGGGCAGTGTTGCTCTCCACCTTGGATAAAAAGTCAAATTGCAGATTTTTTTGTTTGACAAACACAAGACTATTGCATTGATTTTGTTAATTCTATGAACTATATTTTAAAGCATTTTTGCCAATTACAATCAAAAAGTTACCCTGAATGTGTGTTTCTAAAGTGTAACACAATAAAAAAATCTACAGCCTCTAGCATAACCCCAATGGTGATAACTCTGTTAGCCTGTTGCTCTGACAAAGGACACTCTCGTCTGTGAAGGTTTTTTCCCACTACCTTTAGTTTTTAAACTGCTATAAAACCAATGGTTTCAATAAAATCCAAAAGACTAACAGTGACTTTTCTGCATTTAAATGGCTCTAGTCCCATTTAAAAGACCTGGACTCTTAATTGAAAAATATAGGAAAAAAGGTTTAGATTCAGTTTATCCCTGTGCTCATGAAAGTTGGGAAGTTAATCATGAGTATCTGTTTGAGAGAGCGGTAGCTCAGGTTCATTATACATACATCTTTGTTGGTGGCCTCTGGGCTCACGGAGATTAGCACCAAGGTGCAGCCCATGAAATCTGTTCCACATAGAATATAGATTGAATTCCACATAGAATATAAATTGATGTGTCATCAAGTTGTTGACTCTTTACAACCACATAGATAGATTTTCTTCATGATGATCTGTCCCTAACTTGGTCTTTCAGGTCTTCATAAACAATATATTAATACAGTAAGGCAATCTCCACTTCTAGACTGTTGCGCTGAGGAAGCCTCATTGGAAGACAGGGCAAAATGTTTGCTGAAAATGTGATCTGCACCTCACTGCTGATGTCCCTGAGCCCAAAGGGCAACAATGAAAAGGTATGTGTAATCATGAATGTCCTCTGCTACCATCTTGTGTGGAAGGTTAAAGTCTTCTGCCTACCAAAGTGCCACCAAATCAAGCAAGGACTTTCCACTGGTGCTGCAGATGAGTCCAAGGCCAGCAGCTCTGTGATGGGAGTCGTGCACGTGCAAACGTTCTCATAGTTTCATTCAGCAGCGTGGCAGTGAAGGAGCCCCGAAAGGGTGCAGAGCAACAGAAAGGCAATCTAGGAACATCTATCCAACCAAAGAAGTCTCTGGATGCCCTCCACTCTGAAGCAATGTGAGGAATCACTAGCTTCTGCAGGTGGGGGTGGGGGTGGTCAGATGAAGTTTCCCCCCAAAAGGCAAAGTCAGGAAGCCCTTAGGAAAGCTGCTCATTCCCAAGTTGCTGGGTAATTTCCATTCTCCCCACCACTGCAGTGAAGCAGTACCAGACATTCTCCAGTTGAGCTGTGTGTATAGCACATAGATATGTATGCATGTGGTGGTGGGGAGAAGAGAATGAATGAATAGCTGGGATTTAAACATAATTGTAGCAGTGAGAAAGCCTTCCATCTGAAACCCTTTCTATCTGAAAGCCTTCTGGTCCACTGAAAAGACATCAAGCAGGCAGATGTAAGCTCTAAACAGCACCAGAACCCATCACAGAAGATAGGGAAACTCCCAGTAATTCCTATTCCTGCTCAGAGTTTGCAGTAGAAGAAAAAAAAGAAATGAAATTCAGGACAAGCGTCCCAGAATCTATATACACTTTGTCTTGTATTTTTTTATGGCATTTGGAAACTTTTGTACTTGTTAAGTTAGTATAGTACTGGTTTAGTCTAAATATTTTGTCCTCATCAATGCTATTACAATAATGCAGGACAGATACATATAGCATGATTCTTTGAGTTCAAGCCATGAATGCAAAATAAAAATATGACTCTGATAGACTGAGAAATACCACTACTATATACTATAATTTTCACCTGTTTTTAGCAAGGAAGCTAGCTGTTCAGGGCCTCCTGCTGAATACTTTTTAGACTATTTAATTTCAAAAAGCCAAGAGCAATTTGATCATAACTTGGGTGGTGGAATTATGGAATGGATGCATATTTGGCCCGAAGACAGAGTACTGTGAGCTCAAAAGTCAGCTAATTAATGAAGACAATTCTCCTTTCTGATAAACAAACTGGAATTCTTAGGCCAAATAATTATCGTTTTGTTTAAGTTATCTGAAAGGAAGAAATAATTTATACTTCACATTTTAAACAGAGAACTGCCTGTGTTTTATCTCCGTAATCTTTAACCAGCAATGTTTATGTTACAAAAAAGGGTGAAGTGGATAGAGAATCACAGTTGGCCTCCAGGCACATTGCAGATTCATGGCTAATAATGAAATCTGAACCAGGGACTTCCATCTCAATTTTAGCTGGTGCAATAGACAGGCTTTAGATGGGATCACAAGCTTGTGCTGAAAGCTTATCCTCTCTCAAGGTTAACTTTCCTTCCTGAAATTAGCTACAGGCTAATTTATATGCATTTGTTCCATATTAGAGGAAATTTTTGGTGCCCCTTTCCAATTTTATGCTTCAGTGATATAAGTCCTTTTGCATTATCAGCACAAATCCAGATTTTGGAGGCCAGCACTTCAATGAAAAGCTCACCAGTTTTTCCATCTTCAACAGTTTGATATCTTGCTGATGCAGTTTCTCATTCTTGATCTCCAATACTGCTTTCAAACTTTCCAATTCTTGTTCCAGATACATAATCTGAGGGTTTTTCTGAAAAAAAATATTATACACAGAGATGTTTAGGGAGGCCCCTCAACACTGCCATGTGTTTTAAATTATGTTTGTGATATATTGACTGGCTATGGATTTTCTTGGCCATACTTGGGGGCAGGGGATGGGGATCAAAATACAGACACTTGCATACCACTACAGACCCCTTCAGGAACACTTGCATGGGATAGAGAAATACATGAAAAATGTCTTTGCATTGGCTGCAAATATCCATACATTGCCCAGTTCCAAACAAATGGTGCTCTTGCAAAATGTGCAGGGATTAAATGCACTGAGTGATAAGGCCAACCCAAATGACACAAAATAGTGTTCAAGCTTTTGAGTTATCCAGATCTTTCACCAGGCAAGAACTCAAAAGCTTGCACACTCTTCGGTGCCAATTTGTTTCTTTAAAGTTATATAATTTTGGATTTTCTCCTGCCATCCCTCCATCAAGATGGCTAAATAGTGTTTTATCTATATACAGATCATTTTCAGTTGCTGAGGCATGTGCCATTGCACAAGCTAAAGATCTAAACTGGAATTCACACGTAACCCTAAATACACTTCAAATGGAGCTTCCTGGTTTTAGAGATCTTCCTGTCAGTGAGAGAACTAAGCAGGAGCGTTTGAGCTGTGCGCCCATGTAACCAATGTGTGCTATTCTACCAGATGGTGGAATGCCTCAAATTTCATTTGGATGAGATGCTTCAGAAGAGGGAGGACAGAGCACCCTGCCCGAGACTCATTAAAGCAGCCACCTCTGTTTCTAGGTTCATGAGGCTGCAGCAGAAACATTGCCCTATGATTCTATCCTCAAAATAAATATTTTGAATTCAGCTATGCATGTTTAAACATATTCATAAGCATACTGAACACGCACCCATTTGATAGTGGCTCATTGATATATAAAGGGTGTAAATGTTGTTCTTTCCTGAAAATGCTATGCTTCTGCATTTGTATCACCTGTCCTATTTATTGAAAACTATGTAACACTCCTCAATATTTAGGACAAAAAACATTTTTGTTAGGCCAGATACCTCCCACTAGCTTTTGCACAGAATGTTGAGAGCCAAAACCTAAAGTAGACAGGAGCAGGATTTGGGTTACTTGGTGGTGCTGGTGGTGGGATTTTAGTGGTCTTAAGGGATGAAATTGGTGCCTTAAGCTCCTACAAGCTTTATGCAGTCCCTAAATGCGCCCATCCCCACCCGAAACAAAATACAATGAGTTTGTAGTCTGGAATCTGTAAAAGGATGAAATGAATTGCAGCTTCTGGGCTGTGTTTTTGCACCTGGTCATAGGGTCTGAAAAGTCCCTGGCATCAGTGAAAGACTTCCACATTTATAATATTTACAATATCTACAATCCAATATCTTACTTACAGAGTTTGCTTTTTCTTTGGCTATTCGTTTTTGTTCTTCCAACTTGAGCTTTTCATTCAAGCAATTGTTTTCACTTTGTAATTCAGCTATTTTTTTCTGAAATATTAAATACAGCCCAATATAATAACCAAGCCTCTAACATAAAGCCAGAAGTCTTTTTAAGAAATACCATCAGAATAAAGTAAGTTGGCACAAGTCAGAAATGAAGATGTGCCAATATTCTTAATACTAAAAGTTGAGTACCAGAGTAAGACAATCTGTTAAGCCAATTAGTATAAGCAAGAAATATATGTAATAAAAACAAAACTGCTATGCCATATTAATAAGGACCAAGTAGAAATACAGATTTTTTAAAAGAGCAAAGTAAAGGTAAGATTTTCAAGTGGCGGATCTTGAAATGGATCTTAGAATGTATTAATAAACTTAAAGAGATATTTCAGACCTCCAGTTCTTCTTGTTTCTCATGGAAAAATTCTTCAAGTAACTTTCTTTCTGATTCATGGGTAGCCTTGAGTTCTGAAAATATTTAGAGGTTTATTATTATGCAGGTAAGATTCCTTAACATCCCATTAGTTACTACAACTCAGCCACAGCAGCAAAAGTTCAGATTAAATTTCTGTTAAAAGTAGTAAACTTCTCTGTATCAGGCTGTTGAAATGATTTTAGATGTATTTATTTGCATATCTTTCTAAATATAACACCCTTAGTCACAAACAAGGAAAGATATGAGACAATTTACCTGAACAGGAAGATTCGTATTCCTTCTTCAACTCCTCTATCTTTTCTGTATGACTGGTTTCAAGTTCTAGCTTAAAATTTTCATGTGTTATATTCAAGTTGTCAACCTAACAAGTAACAATATTTTAAAGATATATAAGTGAAAACAAGTTCTTATTTGGGGGTGAGAAATAAACTTGTTTTCTTTTTAACCCAACATAAATGGAACTTAAAAAACAAATTACAAAGGCAAGTCAACTAGCCAAAATTAGACTAACGCCATGTCAGCATGCCAAGGGGTCTGCATTAAAGGAGATCAGCTATTAGCTTCTCCAGATGCTTCAGAATATTCTCCTAAAAGGCACCTAATTCTGGAGGGAGCATTTTTCTCATCAATTTAGAGGAGATCCTAAACAAACCAAAAGATACAGTTTGGTGCAGTGGTTAAGACATTGGGCTAGAAATTGGGAGAGCATGAATTCTAGTCCCACCTTAGGCATGAAGCCAGCTGGGTGATCTTGGGCCAGTCACTCTCTCTCAGTCCCAGGAAGCAGGCAAAGGC